GTGCAGGAAACAGGAGCAAGAAAACTCAGACTACTCTGTGGAATCATCAATTCAGGTATAAAACATATGGATTCCAGAAAAAAGATAATCACTCATTCCACAAATGATGGATATATATATATATATATATATATATATATATATGCATCCAACCTGGTCCCGTCTGGTCCCTTAAATGGCCAGAACAAGCAGCTGCTTCGATAGTGAGAGATAAAAGAGAATTTCAAACTTCACATTACTCAAAGGCTTTCTTCTACATTTCCTTTCTTCCCATCCATAAAACAATGCTTCCATTAATGCCAACCCCTCCCTTTAGCACCTACACTTAACTCATATTAATTAGGGGTTCCCTTCAGGGCAGGAAGAAGGAATTTAATCAAACTGTAAGTTGTATACTGGGCACTGGCTGGTGGCTCACAACTGTAGTCCTAGCTCCCCTGGAGGCAGAGATAGGGAGGGTCTTGTTTTGAGCCAGCAAAATAGTTCTGAGACCCACTACACAGACATGAAAAGAGCTAGTGCAGTGGCTCAAGTGGTAGAGTGCCTGCCTAGCAAGTGTGAGGCCCTGAGTTCTAATCCTAGTACCACCAAAAATAAAAAGGTAAGTTGCAGTAGAAGGAATCATTTAAACTATTATCTTATATTTAACTTGCTTTTATTGGATTCTTTTTATTTTTTTATTTTTTTTTTGATGCTTTTAAGTACTTTAATACACAATTTGCACAGTTTGTATGTAGCACTCACATTTTACATATTTTCCTGGCTAAATAAAGCATTTTAAAAACACTTCCAATTTTGAGTCTTAATAATGTTCAACTGATAACACACAAACCACAGAATGTTCAGAATGTTTTTATATATGCACATTTTCAATGACAAACTCTCAATGAGATGCATTTCCTTAAATGTCTAATTAAAATAAAATCAAACAAAACCTAGACCTGTTAAGTATTTATATGACTTCACAAATATCAGGGTTATATTAAAACTGACAGGCACAGGACATATTGGAGTATTCCTAATGTTGAGAATTTGGGGTGGGGGGACTAAAAAGCAAATTCATTATTCTAGTAGAGAATAATGAATATTCCAAGTTCAGCCTTAAACCTTTATTGGGGCAAAAGACAGGCTACAGACAGAAGTGTTAAGCTTAAGCACACTATAATTTATTCCCAAACCTGGAAATCATCAATTCTGACTAAATTCTTAAAGAAGGTTTTGTTAACACTCTATTTGGTTTCCTCAAGATATATAAAAAATTTTTTAAAAATCTCCATGGGTACAATAAAAGTATATTTTTCTTGGTTCATTTTCACTATTTAACTTTTAATTAAAATAAAGGTTGAGTAATCCAATAAATTTTTTAAAAAATACAAATCTCAAACTGTTTTATAGTATACTTTATTTAATACAATGTTTTAACTATAAAAGTTAATACAGTTTTGAAGTTTAAATTTTGTAAAATGCAGTTTGCAGAAAACAGTCTGATAGTCACTAATGATAAAGAGAAGCAGCATTTTGAAACCAATTTTACAATTGAGATGACAATTTTATTTTTAAATTTCATTAAAAAAATATACATCACAGTGACTTGTGAGCTAAGAAGTGCACGGGCTTCGTGACGCTCTCCCGTCAGAGAGCATCCACAACTTTGAACATCCCCACAGAGAAACACCCAGTCCACTTATCAATCTTTCAAATCCTATAAACACACAAAGCAGGAAGGAAATATACAGCATGTGCTTTTGGTAACAAGAATTTGCTTTAAAAAAAAAAAAAAAAAAAAAGAGGCAGAAACACAAATCAACCCCACCATACCCTCAGCTCTGAAAACAAAAAACGCCCTCAACAACTCCCTTCTCAACCTTGCTGATGGAAATTTTTTCATGAGTTGTTTTTCTTTTCCTTTAATATTTCGTTCTTTGACACACAACAGGTCAGAGAGTTTGCATTTGCCTGAATCCTTTCCAGGCAGCTGGGAAGGTCACCACAGATGTGTGCCAGTCTACACTGTACTTCCTGAGGCTTCATTTTTCAAACAAATATTTGTAACAAAACATATCTTTTTACAATAAAAGTAAATTAACCTATAATCCATGGAGTTAATTTAATAGTAAATTCTAAACGGAGTAATCATAGTAAACATAAAACAAGACAAAAAAACCCACTTTGTTTTTCTATATCAGTCAGTTACATAAGAACTTTCTGGTAAAGGCAAACCCAATCAGTTTTATAGAAATTTACTATAAAAAGTTCAGTGTGACAAAAAAACTATTACCACGGAGAACAAAGTACTAAAAAACATATTAACTTGCCCCAAATACTAAACAGAAAATAAATTAGAATCATTTAATATTCAAAATACCAGAAACCCAATGTGTGCCTGTCTGTATCTTTTACCTTAGTTTCACACCTTCCACAAAAGTCATTCAGCAAAGTCAACATGCATCAGTATCACACTTTTGTAAAGAGTTATCAGATAAATTCTTTGCAACTTCTGAGGGCTTCAATTTAGTAACAAACTATATAGCTGTATGAACTCACCAACTAGAATTTAATTGAAGAATGTTTTAAAGCAACATAGTAGCTTCCCTACTGTCCATATTTCACCATTTCATTAAACATTGTCTCTCTGCAGTAGCAATTTCTGTGGCATATATCTTCCCCAGAAATACAATTCTCACACAATCATGAAAATTCTGCATATTAAAGTCTTTCTCATCTATCACTAATCAAGCAAAAACAAATGAAAATATCTTTATAAGGTTATTAAAGTGAACTGTAAATTCAGATACTACTATAAAATCAAACTTTTTTAGGAAAAGCAAAGATTAGGACACTATTAAAAGGTGAAACAACGGCGGGTGGCTATGCAAAGAAGCATAACATTCTATAAAATCAATTTGATGGGAAAAATTAAATAGCTGACTTTTGGGAAAACAGACAATGTTCAAATAAAAACTAAAGAGCACAACTGCTAAAAATGTGAGAAAAGGAAAGGACTTGCTGGGGCCTTGTGCTATTCAGATGCAAGAGTGGACTTTGAGGTACAATTATACTGCCTACTATTTTCAAAATGTTCTTTTTATTCTGAAAATAAAATCTAGTTGATTGTCCTGTCTCATCTCAACTCCTTATCACATCTGTCCTATAGAAACAGCTTGAACAAAGCTTAAACAAAGAAAAAAGGCCTATAAATAATGCTTAGCATGGAGTTATTTTCTTGATAACCCAAACAGAACTATAGACATTATTCAACACCCCCCACCCCGACACACTTCTTTATGATTACTTTTGAAACTTTAAAGATTTGGAAAGTCCCTGCATATAACACTAACAAAGCTCTGGGATCAACAACACAAAAGTATTTTTACTTAGCATGGACTTTAAAAATATATAACTGTTATTAGAAATCCTTCCTTAAAATAGTACCTTTCTTAAAGCTCAAATAATTTCTGACAGATTTTAAAATGCAATTTACTGGATTTAAGACAACTTGTTAAAAACATGTTCAGATTATACAGTCTGGGCACTGAGACTTGATTATCCTCCATGTGGGTCTGTGGTCAGTCTCCAAAGAATCACCCTGCATTATAATACACGTCTACTATTTTTACCATCAGGAAAAAAAAAGAATGCATTGTGGATATTTGTTTCAAGATATTGCAAACAATCTTATAATCATTTCATTACATTATTTATTCTGTAACAGCTACAATGCCAAATGTATCGGTACTGTATTAATAAATAATGGGAAGTATGTTAGACATCACTCTATTCAGTACAAACAGCATTGAGTAGCTACTGGATTTATCAAGAAGCTATCTTGGTGATAGAGCTGACAATATTGACAAATATTAAAATACAAAACTCTCTAGAGGCTACAATTAACTGCAATTTCAAATACCTTTTTCAAATGAGGCAGGATTTGTGTTTGCTGGATGTTCAATGTTTTATTTAAAAGAGATATTACAGAATAAAAGGCCACACATCACAAAAATGGTAAAATACAACACACAAAATTCTGAATGGACTTTGGATTTGTTCAGTGTTTAAGCTATCAAAAAATTTTTAACTTTCTATTCTACTCTATATGGCAACATTATACATGCCAAGTTAAAATAATGTCAACAGTAAATGATATAAATCCACCTTAGTGGAAAGAAACCAGAGTCATAAACATGCTGCAGCCTATCATGGTCATATATAGAAAAGATACATTTTCCTGCCATTTGAAACGCATAGCTATGAGTTAGAGAAGTTAGTTCACAAGTTTAAAAAAACAGAAAACAAAAAACATGCAGAGTTAACACTCAATACTTTATAGGCTGGTGGCCAAAGAGACATCTTAGTTAATATGTCACTATTAACAATTTTTAGAATCTGTCTAGCTTAAGGACCTGCACAAGTAGTATATTTTAATGAGAAATGTCTGTTTTAAATTTTAGAAAAGGTAACAGTAATAATAAAATAATGTTTTCAAAAAAGCAACAATTTCAACTCTTCAGACCAAAAACAACAGAGAATTACTGTCTGATCTTCCAAGTTCCTGTCAAATGCTGTATAACAGCAAGTCAAACTCAATCAGCTCAACTGAAAAAAACATTCATCTGTTTTTATAGATAACTAGTGAACAAAAAGAAACAAGCTATGGCTAGAAGTATAAAGAATAAGATATGAAGCACAAGATAAATAAAGTACAAATACTGTAAAATCAAGTGATGATTTAAGACCACAAATTATTAGGATCCTGCTTCTGTATAATTAAAAGAAATTGCTGCAAGCCTCTATTACAAATGCAATCAGAAAATCTATATAAAACTTTTAGTGGCTTCCCAAGTTACTGTAATCACAAGAAACAAGCTTTTGTAATAATGCATTGCAACCATCAATTATGCTTGTTTCCAAATGGCTGATTAAGCAAATTAGGATGCTACTGGCTGATTGTTGCAACACAAAAATGCATACAGAATAGCACACAGTATTACACCAAAGTGTTTTTCTCATTTCAAGTTTATTAAAACTTTAGCGGTACAAATTATCCAGGTTGCAGATTATCAAAAGATCAACTCAATGAAGTCCACATTTAAAAAAAAAAAAAAAAAAAAAAAAAAGAGAGAGACGAACATAACCCCAAAACATGAAAACAACACAGAGGAGATTCATCAGCAAGTCTCTAAAACTTAAATTTGAGACAGAAAGGACATAAGTTTACACAACTCACTCATCCACTTTTGTCTTCATCTGTTCCAGGGCTTGATTCATGATCAAATTTTTTATTTTTATCATGTACATGGTCATTTTCTTGACCCTTTGATTTTTGGTTTTCTTTTTCCACTGAGGACCTGGTTTTTTCATCCTCCTTATTTTTCAATGTGGAGGACTTTAATTCATTGTCCTGACTGCTTTGTTTTACTTTTGATAATGGACTTTGATCTCTATCAGCCTTTTTATCCCTGCTATTATTTGAGCTATTATGATCACGATTTTTAGAGTACATTCTTTTCTCACTCTCAGAATTTTCCTTCCTGTGAGAACTCTTACTTTCTTGGTTTCTGTATTTTTCTTTGTTTCTGCTTTGACTTTCTTCTCGCTCTGAGCTCCGTGAATCTCTCCTCCGCCTCCTCCTATCTTTACTTCTTGATCTTCCTGGTGGCGTTCTTCTCTCTGGGCTTCGTGACCTTCCTCTTCTCCTGTACTCCTGTTCTCGGTATCTATGGTATTCCTTGCTTCTGCTGCGATCTCTGTCATGGCTTCTAGACCGCACTCTCCTGCTCCTGTCTCTACTTCTGCTTCGTTCCCTTGTTCTACTATTGTAACTGTGTTTACTTTTAGTTATATCACGTTCTCTACTCCTGGACTGTGCCCGTCTATCCTTTTCTTTGCTTTTACTATGGTCATGCTCATTGTTTTTTGACTCTAACTGTTTAGGCTTCTCTTTACTTCTACTCCTTTCCTGATCTTTGCCTTTAGAATCAGACTGCTTTTCTTTTTCTTTAACATTCTCGTGATCCCTTTCTTTACTCCTTGACCTCATCCTCTTTTCTTCATGCCTGTTATGTTTTGAATCTCTTTCCTTACTCTTTGATTTCTCTTTGCTCTTACTTCTACTTTTAGATTTGGCCCTTTTCTTCACTTTGTTTTTATTGTATTTATCATCCTTTTCTGAATTTCTTCTGATGTCTCTCTCTTTGCTGTTAGATTTATGCTCTTTAACTTTTTTTTCTTTTTCTAGTTTTCTGTTTGGACTCTCAGATGCATGTCTGTGATCAGTTATTTTTCTCTCTTTTACTCTAACTGGGCTCCTTTGATTTTCTTTTACTTCATTCAACTCACTCTTATCCCCTTTGATCCATCTTTCACCACTTGATACTCTCATTCTTTGAGCTCTCTGCATCTCTTGCCTCCAATGTGGAGGAGTCTCACTACGTCTGAAGGATCCCTTGATCTCGATCTGGAAGGAGTTCGATAACGCCTTGGTCCTCTTCCTTTAATTTTCCTGCCAGACCTAGTAACTAAGAGTCGTCTCTGGTATGAAGGAGGCTGGGAGTTAGGTAGATTACACTCTCTTTCTCTTTCTCTCTCTCTGGTTTTCCTTTCCTTATCATCAGCTTTAGGAGGACTTTTTCTCATTAGGAATCTATTTTCTGGTATAGGAGGGATCTCTTCTGAACGTACAGTAGACTGGGGTTGTGCTTCAACATTTTCAGCCTCACTTTCACTAGATGCACTTTTCTTGCTTTTCTTTCGCTTCTTCTTTTCCTTCTTATGTTTTCGGGAATTTTTCCTATGTTTCTTTTTTCTTTTTTTTGATTTCTCTTCTGAAGCACTTTCAGAATCAGAAGAATCAGAAGACTGAGAATCACTTGAGCTATCTGAATCACTGGATGACGACGAGGAAGATGATTTATGCCGTTTCTTTTCTTCTTTCTTAACTTTAGATTTGGGAATTAGCTCTCCACAACTGAGTATCCGTACCTCAGCAAATGGTTTGCTAGCTGCATCTGTTTTCTGGTTTTCTATCTCTCTCACAACTTCTTGACCAGAGATCACTTGCCCAAAAACAACATGATGCCCATCTAAATGAGGAGTTGGCTTCGTTGTTATGAAGAACTGTGAACCATTTGTATCCTTCCCTCTGTTGGCCATTGACAAGAGAAATTCTTTGTTGTGTTTAACAGCAAAACTCTCATCTTCAAAAAATCCTCCATAAATAGATTCTCCTCCTCGTCCATTTCCTTCACTGAAGTCACCACCCTGTACCATGAAATCCTTGACAACTCTGTGAAAGAGACAACTCTTATAATGTAATGGCTTCTGAGTTGATTTCCCTGTCCCCTTTTCACCTGTACAAAGACAACGAAAGTTCTCACACGTTTTGGGGCATACATCAGAAAATAATTCAAAGACAACTCTTCCAGCAGGTTGATTGTTAATGGCAATGTCAAAAAAACATCGAGGACGTTGAACCTTTATTCCCATGTTTCCAATACTTCAACCTGCACTGTTAGTTTCCTCTTCCCTGGGCTCAGTGTTTGAAAGCGCTTCAAATCTACCACCGTCAGAAAAGGCGCTAAAGCCCACTAACCGCCTCCCTCCCCCCAACAGCCCTGTCCTGGCCTTGGATTCTTTTTAAATGAAACTACCATGCAGGCCCAGTGAAATATGTGAAGAACAAGGCATTATTTTCATCCTCAAGGGGCTTTATACTGAAGACAGGTAAGCGTGTTAACCTAAGAGTTTATGGGAGGAAACAAAAATAAAGTCATTGAGAATAGACTAAATATGGGAGAAGATTCTCAGCGCTCAGGCAGTGATGCTTTCCCATCATTTATACCTCATATGTAGCAGGACAGCCAGAGAGCTTCTCTGTCTTCTGGCTAGACAAGGGGCTACACAGAGGGGCTATATCTAAATTCCATTCCAGCTCTTCCACATACCTGAATGAAAGCCTGAGCGATCTAAGGTCAGTCTGGAAAGTTCACCATGGAAAGTGGGGGTAGGCTCTGACATAAGAGAATTGCACCAATGTTTCAGTTTTTCAAGAATTAAATGAGAGGTCTAAGGAAAAAGAAATAAATAAGCACTGATAAACGGATTCACTCACTTACAATATTTACTGAGGACCTTCTGCATCCCATCACTACTTTAAGAGCTGAGTACATGTAAGGTGGTAAACAAGCACACAATCTACAGAGCCAATCCCAGATCATCCTAACAGACCTGCTAAATGCTTTGTTAGCAATATGCCCCACCCTTGCAGCCATGCAGCTAAGCTGAAACACTGAGCATGTCAATGATTTTGGCCTACTCAGTCTTTGACCTTTGGTTTTCTTGTATTGCCAATGACATTAACGATTCTTCAAGATAGTCACTTGAGACAACCAGTGTTATTAGAAACCATTACAATCAGAAATCCATGAAAAGGCAGGTAATGTGCTTGCTACTGTGATGTATGGGACTAAATTTATTCTGCAGTGTAACATATCTGCTTCATCAGTGCAAAAACAGGATGATCTTTCATCTGCATGAAGTAGCCTTGAAAGCTTCGTCACTGCAGTGCCGCAGGAAGATACTAAAATGGTTCTTCCTGGCCTCTTTCTGCTGATTAAAAAAAAAAAAAAAAAGACTAAAGACTGTGCCACCTCCCAAGGGCTTCAGTGCAGTTGCTATAGCAACACTATATCTGAGTCAGAACTATTAACAATCACCATGGCAACAAGTGTCTCACTTGCCGTTTCCAGAAACTCATTGCATTTGGACTAGAATCATCACACCATGAAAAAAGAGGTGGGGTTTTCTTCTCACTAGGAAACAGGAATACTTTCTCCAAATAATTAATCCAAAAAATGTTTTAAATAAAATACAATTAAAGGAATTTTAAGGGACTCATGCTATCATAAGCTGATTAACCTTTTTCCAGAAATATTATAGTTTGACAAAAATAATGGTAAAATGTTAATAATTGATTTCTTTTCCTTAATAAGATCCAATAAATTCCTTGGTATGTACTCATTTCCTCTCTATTTTATAAATTCCAATAATTCCAATAACTACATTTTATTTCTTGTGCAGCCCTCTTTTTAGTTGCTGCTTAATTTCTCTTCCTTCACTCTGTCAGACACCTCTTGAATATTTAGCAGAGCTGAATTCTTTAGAGATTTGTGGATCACACTTGTCAAGTTACAAGCAAAAGAAGGATCACACATATTTCTGGAACTGCACCAAAATGAAATATGTGGTGCTCTGTGGGAAGCAGTCATGGTGGAACCCAGGACCCATTCTGTTGCCCTTTTTAAACACAAAATAGTGGGAATGGGAAGTATCCAGATTTCCATCTGGGATGTGAACTCCACAGTGAGTGGACACACCATAGTTTCTCTCTAAGACCTATTGGTTCCTCATTGCTCTCTTACCATTCTCTACCCTTAATTTCACAGGGCACCATTCATCCTCATCATACCATGTTGTGTCACACAATAACATTTTCTTGGAATTGTTGTCCTGGAACAGAGTTGCTAGGCCCAAATGAAGTTGCATGGCAGCTTTCAGAATAAGTTCTCATGTGTATCAACAATACAAAGGTATGAAAAGTAAACAAAGCAAATTTCCCTAAAATAAAAGAAAAATGAAATTTAACTTCAGATTGATATATTTATCCTTTGCTAAGAATCTTGCTTAGTTATGACAAGATTCTGTGTCTGAGACACCCTTTTTTCATTCAGAGTTCTTACTATGGAGAATGAAGCCAGGCCTCAGGACAAACAAACTTTAATAAAGAGATCATAAATTTACCAGTGATGTCAGAAAGAAAATGGAGATGACCCTCTTCACAGTGAAACCTAGGTTAGTTGGGTCTTTCTGCCCAATATTTATTTAGAATACTAGTGAATGAAGGAGAGAAAGGACAGGCAAAATTGTCGTGTCTCTGTAAGTCAATATGAAAGGAGGTTCTTTTGGGGAAAGGCTTTCTAACCTATTGTTGAGAGTTAAGAAAGATCAAGGTCAGAGTGATATTAGACTGAGAACAGAGGACTGTTTTGTAGCCCAGAGAAAACACCTGTTCAGCAAAAAACAAAACTTCCATTTTTTTTTTAATGAACTCACATCTGAGTAAGGCTCCCACATTGCTGCCCTAGCCTTGGATACCCAAGAAAATAAGAACTAAACCTTGTTAACAAACGGTGACTTTGGAATGTTCGTGCTTGCAAAGTTGTCTCTTAAATTCTATAATTTTTCTACAGACTATTTATTTGTTGACTTTTCAATAATTTTTCCTTGTTCTGAATGAAATCAGGCTAACACTCCTCTCCAAAAAAAAAAAAAAAAAAACCCAACCTTAGGGCCTTGTGACATGGTGTAGATAGTAAAGTAAATGTTTTCCCTGCTTAGGAGATCATGCAAAGGGCTTTGGCCAGACCATTTAGACTCTGGCATTTTCCATGCCTATTTCTGTGCAGAACTGTAGGTAAGTCATCAAAGCACTGGGTTTGGACTTAAGTCCTCTTTATTTCTTTGCTAACTCTGAGACCAGGAATAAGTGACTTCATCACACTGTGCCACATTTTTGACCATCTGTGGGATACTGCTAACACTAATACTTAATTCATAGCATTGTTCTGAGATTAACAGAGCGTCAAGAACAATGCCTGGCATGTATTGACCACTACATTATTGTTGCATTCAATTTCACCATGTGCTTTTGCTTTCTACTCAGATAGATACATTTTGCCTTAAAGATTGCTTATTAATTTTATTCCTCCATCTCTTCACTCATTCCTCAAACATTTATTTCTGAGAAGCAGAGACCATTTGTAGACCTTGCCTGGTAAGAATTATAATTTACTAAAGTTAAAAAGACCAGCAGGGAAGGGAAAGCATCTCCAATGACATATCAGTTTCAGAGCTAAACAAGAGATTTTCTCAACTGAGTGAAGGGAGCACACATTTATTTTCTAGTTGTGGACTGCTCTCTTCTTCTAACACCACTTTTAATAGGTAAATGTACCCAGGGGCTTTTGTACTTCATTTGTGAAGCAATAGTATAGGTTGTCCCAATACTGCCATTAAAATTGCCTAGTATAAAGCATGGGTTAGTCTTGGCTGTAAAAATAAAAGTTCGCTATAGAATAGAACTTGGCAAACATAGTTTGATTAAGTTGGGTTATTTTTATTTTATGCTCAAAGGGAGGCAACACGCCCTAGCGAATCAAGCTGTTTTCAAGTCAGGATACTAGACTTCCCATTCCAACTCTGACATTAAGAGTTGTACTTAGAAAGTTCCTCTGTTTTTCCCCATTTGGAAAAAATGAAGACTACTTTCTGCCTCCTGTATTTTGTTACAATGAAGGCAGTAGTAGTAGGTTTAAATGGTGTATTGAATGGTAATTGTTTTGCATGCCATTTCAGAATGGCAAACACCAGTCCTGCTGCTTTTTTATTCCACACAATGGTCAATATAATCAATCTAGCCTAATTTAGCCTCCTGCAAATAGATCTAGCAAGTGTCTATTGAACTTTCTGGGAAATGGCCTTATTCTAAAAGAATTCAGTTATGTTTGGCCACAGTGAAAAATCAAGTGGACCTGAATTCAAACCCCAGTACCATGAGAGGAATGTTCATTCCCTGAGCGCTAGTACATTTTGTTCTGTTGTTTGTGCATACCTGCTGATTTTTCACAAATGTCCTCCTCATAATTTGCAACTTGAGGAAAAAATTTCTTTGTGATATACTCTGTAGCAAACAGATAAGTTTCTCTTCTTTTTCACACACACACACACACACACACACACACACACACACACACACGCTCCTAAAGCTTCCTAAATCATTTAGTTATCATCATCCCAAGTTCTCTTTGGCAGAGGTCATACTGAATAATATCAGATACACCAATGGTCTTAGGAAGCAGTGACAACTTCCAGATTTAGCCTGGGCTGTGAAGTCCTGCGAAGTCAGCTGGTTCCTGAAAGTGTGCAGTTAATTTTCAAGGAACTTTTTTTTCCGACTGAGTCTTTCCTGGCCTCTATAGCTTAAAGATTTATCTTCTTTTTCTTAGAATTTTCAAGTCTGTTTGTCTGGCAACCTCTTCAAAAAGGTTATGTGCTCTCCACGGACAGAAACAATACCCTATGTTTGCTTCTCTTGTAGCAGCTAATATAAATTATTTGTACATCCTAGTTAATGAATGTTTGGATTCTACAGTCTATAGAGACAAAAAGATTTTAAAATACTCCCTGACTGATGTTGAGATATGGGCACAGTGAGTACGGTTTCTTTGCAATCTTGCCTACTGAGCATAGATGGTGTTTGGGTACACACTGGATCAAGATCCCACTAGTAATTTGTCTTACTTTTATGGGCCTTGTTTGGGCAAATGGTATAGATGGATCAGTTCCATTCTAATTAATCAAACTGTAACAAGGCATAGTAGAGAAAGACTTTGAAACATGGGCAGGCACCACCATTTTGAGAAATTAACATTATCCCTAGGATTGAGACAGTCTGAATGTTATTTCCTATTCAGATGCACATTGTTACTTCCAAGGACCTGCCCAGGTGTGATGATCCTTTTGACACCTTGCTCCTGTAAGAAGCAGACATTCT